TAATTATTATATCCCACGATATAAATTAATTAACAAAATATAAAAAGAGTTTAATTCAAATTAAAAAGTCCCACATTGGTTTTAAGTAAAAAGGATTACATGAAAGCTTTTTATAAAAGTATAGAGTTAAAGAAATAATAATCACACCTTCTCGGCCTTTTGGCTAAGATCAAGTGTAGTAGTAAATACGATGGAGTTCTATAGAAATTTAAATCGCTTAAGCAGTGTTTACAATTTATTATGTATAATTGCATAATGACAAATATATATATATATATATATATATATATATATATATATATATATATATATATATGCACACTCATATTTGAGTTATCTATATCTATAAAACAAAAGTTGGATCGTCACGTTATATCCCACTCCACTGATGTAGAAAATGACAAGCACAAGGCATTACCACCATAATTCAAATATATATATATATATATATATGCACACTCATATTTGAGTTATCTATATCTATAAAACAAAAGTTGGATCGTCACGTTATATCCCACTCCACTGATGTAGAAAATGACAAGCACAAGGCATTGCCACCATAATTCAAATATATATATATATATATGCACACTCATATTTGAGTTATCTATATCTATAAAACAAAAGTTGGATCGTCACGTTATATCCCACTCCACTGATGTAGAAAATGACAAGCACAAGGCATTGCCACCATAATTCAAAACAAACAAATTTGTCTCATCTCATCATCAACAACGGTACAACAAAAGTTTTTATAAAACTCTAACACAAATTATCTATTTATTATGAGTTTTTTTAATAAAAGGAAATCTAATTAGACAAAAATTATTAATATAAAAAATATTTATTAATTGATATAAAAGAGTTTTTAAAAGAGTTTATATTAATAACACAAATTAGCTATTTATTTATTTAGTATAAGTTTTTTAATAAAAGAAAATATAATTAGACAATAATTATTAATATAAAAAAATATTTTTTAATTAATATAAAAATAAAAATAATTTTTCTAAAACTCTACCACAAATTACCTTTTCTTATTAGTTTTTTTTTTAATAAAATGTAATCTAATAAGAGAAGAATTATTTATATATAAAAACATTTATTAATTCATATAAAAAGTGTTTTTAAAAGATTTTCTATAAAACTCTAACACGTATTACCTATTTATTATAAATTTTTTTAAGAAAAGAAAATATAATTAAACAAGAATATATTTAAAGAAAATAAAAAAGTTTCTACCAAATCTACCATAAATTAGCTAACTCTAAAATTTACTTAATAAAATTCTAATTAACATATTTATCTATTTGTTACTATGAATTTTTTTAATAAAAGAAAATCTAATTAAAAAATAATTATTAATATAAAAAATATTTATTAATTGATATATAAAATAAAATAAATTTTCTAAAACTCTATCACAAATCAACTTTTATAATGAGTTGCTTAATCAAATGAAATATAATTAGATAAGAATATATTTATAGAAAAGAAAATAATTTCTATAAAACTCTACCACAAATTACTTATTTTTTCTAAAACTCTGCCACTAATTATCTTTTGTTATTAGTTTTTAATAAAAGAAAATCTAATTAGACAAGTATTATTAATATAAAAACTTATTTATTAATTGATATAAAAAGAGGTTTTCAATGAGTTTTTATAAAACTCTTAACACAAATTACTTATTTATCTATTCATTATGAGTTTGTTTTAATAAAAGGAAATCTAATTAGAAAATAATTATTAATATAAAAAATATTTATTAATTGGTATAAAAAGAGTTTTTAAAAGAGTTTCTATTAATCTAACACAAATTACCTATTTATTTATTTATTATAAAATATTTTATAATTGAAATAAATTTTTTTTTATAAAAAAAGTTTTTTTAAAACTCTTAAAATTACCTAATAAAATCAATCACAATAAAATATTTATTAATTGATATAAAAAGAATAGTTATTTTTTATGGATAATTATCACAATATAACTGGCCCGGCCCAGTTATGATCATGTCATTATCAGGAGATGCCATATGTCATCATCCTATTAATTCAAGAAACCTATAAATAGAGGTATGGAGGAAGGAGGAAGGGGTACATAAATTGATAAATCTAGAAATTCAGAATTTCAAAGAGAAATTTAAAGGGGCATAGACCCAGAATTGTAGAGTAAACACTCTGCCAAAAAGTTTCAGTATTTATTTACTATTTATTTATATATAAAAATATTTATTAATTGATATAAAAAAGTTTTTATCTATAAATTATAGAAGCTCTGCCAAAGAAGTTTTTATCAATACTATTATTATTATTAATTATTAAATGTGCAAAGAGTTTCACAATATTTATTTATTCATAAAAAAATATTTATTAATTGATATGAAAGAGTTTTTATAAAAAATAAAAATAAAAAAAAACACTCTAAAATCTAAATAATAAAATTCCTATTAAACTATTTATCTATTTATTATTATGAATTTTTAATAAAAGAAAATCTAATTAGATAAGAATTATTAATGTAAAAAATATTTATTAATTGATATATAAAATAAAATAATTTTTCTAAAACTCTACCACTAATTAGCTTTTATTATGAGTTTTTTAATAAAATTAAATCTAATTAGAAAAAGATATATTTAAAGAAAATAAAATAATTTATACAAAACACTTTCACTAATTACCTATTTTATTTTTAATAAACTATATCACATTAAAAAAAAAGATATATTACAAGAGTTTCTATAAAACGCTAATGCAAATTACCTGTTTATCTATTTCTTATGAGTTTTTTAATAAAAGGAAATCTAATTAAACAAATATGATTAATATAAAAAATTATTTATTAATTGATATAAAAAGAGGTTTTAAAAGAGTTTCTATAAAACTTTAGCACAAATTACCTATTTATCTATTTATTATGGATTTTTTAATAAAAAAAATCTAATTAGACAAGAATTATTAATATAAAAATATTAATTAATTGATATAAAAAGAGTTTTTTTAAAAGAGTTTATATTAAACTTGAACACAAATTATCTATTTATTTATTTATTATGAGGTTTTTAATAAAAAATCTAATTGAACAAGAATTATTAATATAAAAATATTTTTTAATTGATAGTAGAAATAAAATAATATTTCTAAAACTCTATTACAAATTAGCTTTTATTATGAGCTTTTTAAATAAATGGTAATCTAATTAGACAATAATTATTAATATATAAAAATATTTATTAATTCATATGAAAAGGGATTTTAAAAGATTTTTCTATAAAATTCTAACACATATTACCTATTTATCTATTTATTATGAGTTTTTTTAATAAAAAATATAATTAAACAGGAATATATTTAAAGAAAATAATTTTTTTTTATAAAATCTAACCCCACATTAGCTGTTTTATTTTCTATAAAACTCTATCATATTATCTATTTTTATGAGTTTTTTAATAAAATAAAATCTAATTAGATAAGAATATATTTAAACATAATAAAATAATTTCTATACAACTTTACCACAAATTAGTTATTTTATTTTCCGTAAAACTCTATCGCATATAACCTGTATTTATTTATTTATTATGAATATTTTTACAGAAAATAAAATAATTTCTATAAACTTACCACAAATTATCTATTTTATTTTCTTTAAAGCTCTATCACATATAACCTATATTTATCTATTTATTATGAGTTTTTTAATAAAAAGAAATCTAATTAGACAACATTATATTTAAATAAAATAAAATATTTTTTAAAAAGAGTTTATATAAAACTCTAACATAAATTACCTATTTATCTATTTAGTATAAGTTTTTTTAATAAAATAAAATATAACTAGACAAGAATTATTAATATAAAAAATATTTAATAATTGATATAAAAAATAAAAATAAAAATTCTAAAACTCTACCACAAATTACCTTTTATTATGAATTTTTTAATAAAAAAAAATCTAATTAGACAAGGATATTTGTATTTAGAGAAAATAAATAATTTATATAAAATTCTACCACAAATTACCAATTTTATTTTCAATGAAACTCTATCACATTAGATAAGGATATATTTAAAGAGTTTTTATAAAATTCTAACACAAATTACCTAAACTTTTCGCCAAATTAACTATTTTATTTTCTATAAAACTTTATCACATATAACCTGTATTTATCTATTTATTACGAGTTTATTAATAAAAGGAATTCTAATTAGACAAGGATATATTTAAAGAAAATAAAATAATTTGCATAAAAACTCTACCACATTTATCTATTTATTATAAGCTTATAAAAGGAAATATAATTAGATAATAATTATTAATATAAAAAATATTTATTAATTGATATAAAAAATTAAATAATTTTTCTAAAACTGTACCACAAATTACCTTTTATTATGGTTTTTTTAATAAAAGGAAATCTAATTAAATAAGAATTATTAATAGAAAAAATACTCTATGAAACTCTACCAGAAATTAGCTATTTTATTAATTTTAGTATTTCATTATTTATTTATTAATATAAAAAATATTTATTAATTGATATAAAATGAGTTAAAATAAAAGAGTTTTTATAAATAAAATGAATTAAAATAAAAGAGTTTCAAATCATTATTAAAACAACTAAAAAAATAGGTAAAATAGATAATTGTTTAGTAAAATAATTTATCAAATAATAAAATAAGTTATAAAATATTCATCACGTGCATCGCAAGTGTTTTTTCCTAGAAGAATATAAAAGTGTAATAGTTTTAGCATTTCAGTATTTATTTTTTAATATAAAAAAATTATTAATTAATTTTAAAATAGAACTTTATCACATATAACTTCGGTATTTATCTATGAGTTTTTTAATAAAAAAATCTAATTAGACTAGGATATATATAAATAAAATAAAATAATTAAAAAATATATGAAAAGAAAAATTTTCATGTACCTATATATATATATATATATATATATATGACAGTACACATGATGGTGTAGGTTTATGGAAATTAGAGATATATAAGCCGCCGAAAATAAGCCGCCCTCTGTGAAGCGTGATCATGTCGAACGGCACATACCTTCCCGAAGAAAACCTGTTTGACATACTCTCTCGACTGCCGGTGAAGTCTCTCTGCCGATTCAAGTGCGTATCGATCCCATGGCGTAGTTTAATCACAGACCATCGTTTTGTCAAAACACACCTCAATCGAAACAACAGATGTGAGAAGATCATCATCGACGGTGACTCTCTTTACTCCGTCGACTGTACTGAAGCATCCAATAACCATGCCGTCACTGCAACCAAGCTCGACCATCGAATATTCATTGTACCAACATCGTGGGTTCTTGCAACGGCTTGATTTTAGTGGCGGATTCTGAACAACCCGTTGAACCCATCCACTAAAGAATTCAAGGAATTGCCCAAATTTCATCGTCTCTCCGGACCACCCATTCCTAAATTCAGAATGTATGGTTTTGGGTACGATTCATCTACAGATGATTACAAGGCTGTGGTAGTTTGGGATACACATATAAGTTTCTATACATCGAGAATTGGTTCCTGGGTTTTTAGGTATGTTTCTCATTTCCCCTATTATCCTATTCTTCTTGGGACAGAGTCATTCTCGGTTGGAGCTCTTGTAAATGGTTCTTTACATTGGTTAGCTAATAAAAAATGTTCCGTTGATTCTCCATATGTGATTTGTGCATTTGATGTAACAAATGAGAAACTCCGGGATATATTGGTACCTTGCTCTCTTGAAAACTGTAAGAAGTCAAGTGGTTTGGGGGTTCTTGGAGGGTGTCTCGCTATGGTTGTATGTCATAATCATTCGAAAACTGATGTTTGGGTGATGAAGGAGTATGGGGTGACTGAGAGTTGGACCAAATTTTTAACAATCGATTTGTGGTCATTTTGCCGAACCCCGCGAATGATTTCTATGGTGAATGGGGTAGTTCTACTGGATGTAGATGACAACACATTGGTTGGATACATTTCTGAGGAAGAGGAATCATGGGATATAAAGGTGAATGGCATTCCGTCTAAGTTTCGAGCAAAGATGACCTATGTGGAGAGCCTTATCTCGCCCCCATTACCAACTTTATAAAGGCATTGAAAACTTGAGAAAGAGGTAATATATTTTATCTTTGGTGAATTATTTTCATGTATTCACATCACATATGCCACTATATTATACAACTTCTAGCATTTGCTTTGAAAATTTTTCTTTGATGTAGTTTATAGTTATACTTATAAAATAAAAAAATAAAAAAAAATGTAGTTTATAGTTATACTTGAATTATATTGTTGTGCACTTATATTTTCAATATCATCAAACCTATATTTGTTACAAGTAGCTGAGTTAGTCAACATGCTCTTCTTCAACGGTGAATGTTTGCACCAGAGTGAAAAATCAGTTACTCTTAGTCCTTTTCAACTCCAAATTTGACTAAGCCCATTTATGTTAAATTGTTTGGAAAACCTTTCTACCTTAATATTAATGATATTGCTAATAGGTAGACCAAATTGTTAGCCTATTTATTGATTTATCAGAATAGGTTTTAAAAAAATATATCGACAACATCAATTATGAAATACTCATATAATCTCATTCTGTCATTGTCACGCTCCGAAACTTGAGTTATGAAACCCGAGCATTTGGAGTGTGATACAAAAAGAATCACCAATCACTTAACTACTATCCAAGTAATTTCTTTTGATTACAAATAAGTAAATCACTTAACAACCTTTATGAAAATTCCAACTTATAAATTTCACAACATATATCATCACGGGATCCACTAATCGTCATCTCTCTTTCCAACATTTATCTTTCTCTCTCTCTATATTCTCTCACTGGAGAAACTAGAACAAATTGGGCCTCTTCAAACCAATATATCAAAAGGTCAAAACTACTAAAATCCAATTCGGTTTGAAGAGATTGAATGCTTGGTTTTCTGCCAAGTCATTGTACAGAATGCTGGATTTGGCATTGCTATAACTTATCATAAGTATGTAAAGGTCCAATTTATAAATATTTTTTTTCAGTACAGTGCTTTATTGGGTTTTCTGTTAGATCGATAAGGTCATCTCCACTGATTAGCCATGACTGGTTTAGACAACAAAACAGTGGTTGTGTTGTTTTGTTGGGTGTTTGTATTTGCTGGTGCTTTGTTTCTACAACCTCAGAGCTTTATAGATTTGAACACCCTGGAAAAGGCGATGGCTCACTTAGCTTTCTAGTCCTAGGTGGTGTATTGGTGATGGCGGAATGCGAGTGAGAGTTGTGGTGAATATATATCTATATATTATATATATTAATTTTTATATTTGTATACAAAAATTTAGAGATATATATATTTATATATTAATTTTTATATTTGTATATCAAAAGTTAGAGATATATATATTTATATATTAATTTTTATATTTGTATACCAAAAGTTAGAGAGAATCTAGGAGATAGGAAAAATTGCATCCCATCCAAACAAGGCCTTGTTTTTAAAAATATGTAGGAAATTGGAAGGGGGATTTTTGTTATTCAAAAGGGTAATTTTTATCTCCTAGAAGCTTGTACCTCTTCATGCCGAAAATGTGTCTTTGCTATTCTAATCTTTCTCACAATCACGGCCTGAAAATGATTGGAGTGAGCTAGATAGCCCAGTAGGAAAGAACTTGATCCACTCTTCATAAACATGCTACAAAAGCATATAGTAAATATATGTGTGTGTGTATATATATATATATATATATATTCATGGCACCAAATTCTTCATAAAACAAGTTCATAAAGTATCACAATCATTTGACGAAAGATTCTTAAGCACCATAGTGCCATGTTATTCATATTTGACCATAAATGCAAGAGCAAGTATATCAAGTATGCAAATAATTCATGACCAATAAGAAAGATTCTATCAATTTTAAAATCGACGAGCCCATGTTTTCACAATAGCGTGCAACACATTTTGAGTTTTTTTTTTTTTCCAGGATCATTGCAATCCTATGCGCCTCACAAGGACGCTACAGTGCCCCTCTAGAGGTGGTGGGCATTCCACCCACTCGACAGTCCGTCAAGCTAGTTCAAATCTAACCAGATTCAACATGTCTCGTTTGCAACAAATATTGCTTTTCTCATCACATTGGCATACCATACAAATCCTTTTCTAATTTTTTAAATGAATTGTAAACAAAATATTTGCTAGAAAACACTTCTAAATGATCCAATATAATAAACAATTATTTGAGAATTTTAACCAAGATGAGACATGCTTAAATAAGATTAAATGAGGGTGTAACTAACTTCCTACCTCCAATGCAATTAACCAGAACCTAGCACAAGTTTTCCTTTTATCGTTATTCCTGTCCTCACCTCTCTCATTCAATAATATCATTAGATGAACGCTGGAATATTATATTACTGGTACTCTTTATTCCCTTATGTTCTTTCTTTCTTTTCCAGCATTTCTCTCTCTCCCTCCCTCCCTCTCTCTCTCTCTCTCTCTCTCTCTATATATATATATATATATATATATATATATATCTTGGGAAAATTAGATTTTAGTGACCAAAATTGAAAAAAAAAATTGCTTTAAGGTGACCTTAAAGTCAAAAAAAGATAAATAGTAACCAAATCTTGAAAATAATTGCAAATTAGTGACTATTTAATGTTTATGTCCTCAATACCCTTCTACGACGACCCATTACCCACCATCCTCCACATTCTTTATCCATTAATAGCATGATGTATCATTCTTTTATAGACTAAAAATTTATGAATCAGATCAATTTATTTCAGACATGAGTACAGGTTATGCATAACCTAAGGTTAGTTCACTTCAAGATGCAGCCATTGTTACAATTGTTAGTCAATGGATGGAGGCAGGCATGTTTCATCATTCAAGATGCACTTGAAGCGCTATGTGATTTTACAATGGAGACGACGAGACGTAACTCCAAGCAATGCAATTCATCACCATCGGAACAGCACACATAGCCATTTCCTGCATAAAAATCCCTTCATCAGCGCCATCCGGAATTTATTTATTTATTTTTGTCATTTTCCTCAGTTCCTTCGTTAGTGACATTCAAATTCTTTTCAAGCAGTTCTTTTCAATTCCATTGGTGGTGATGGTGGAGGATGCTAGGCTTGTGGACCGGTAGAAGGGAATTTAGGACATAAACTTTAAATGGTCGTTAGTTGGCAATTATTTTTCAGATTTGGTAGCAACTTATCTTTTCTCGAGTTTAAGGTCATCCTAGAGCAATTTTTTTCAATTTTGGTCACAAAATCTAATTTTCCCTTTCTTTTTTTTTTTTTTTTTTTTCTTTTTCAACTTCTGCGTCTCTCTTTCTCTCTATGTTAGTTTTCAGCATGTCACTCTTTTCTCACTTCTTATTTTGGTACTTCTCTCTCTATCTCTATATATATTTCATATATGTACCATTATTAATGTTGTTGACTGCTTCTCCCTTGCGCCTATCTTTTTATTTTAGTTAGAGAATTTAAATTGTTACCCTTATTGATTCCATTTTGTCTTTAATAAGGAAAGGGGCTGAAGACTTGGCTGTATATGCTAATAATTGTATTGTTATGGAACTTTCCTTTTTGGTTAAATCCTGAAATGTCAACCACGGTATAGGTATTTAGTAGGCCAATTTCTAGTACTGCAATGCTTCTTTCCTTTCTGGAGTGAAAAGACACCAACACCTATTCAAACCAAATGTATATACACTATTTTTCAAAAATTTCTTGCACTATGGCTTTAGCTAATAAGCCATCTCTGCCTTTACAAAATCTAACAGGCTTTTATCCTAAGGATTTGTGTGCCATATAGAACATGACAAAAGTAGTCAGATGATCGCTAGCCCCCATTCTTCAATTTCGATCAATCTTATTCTCCAGGGATGTATCTCTATCATAATATTTTGACAACTTTTGTTGAGTATTTTACGTAATCTATTCTGTGCAGAAGCTCAGCCTCCCTTCTTAATGTGTTAGTGAGATTTGTTATTAAATTAAAGGTCTGGTTTGAAATTATGAATTCCTTTGAGAAAAGAATGACCAAAAGATTGAGAAAATGACCTTTTCGTTTCTAGTTTTGGTGGAAACTATTCAAAATGTTTCATTTTAAGTAGATTGGTTTTAGGAATTATTATGAGACAATTGTAAAAATATTCTGATTTGCTTAGTGTTCGGTACTTTAAAAATTGTTCTTGGTTAACATCAGGTGTCATTTGTCGTTTGGGTGTGTGGGGATCATTGTGTATTCCCTTAATCATTATATAACAATTTTGCCTTTTTTCTTTTTTCTTTTTTCTTTTTTTTGACAACGTTGAATTATTCTTATCTTGTCTGGCATATACTTGAGGATCTGTACACATTAATAGGCATTTTAGACTGTAAGTTGAAATTATTTTAGACGCACAAAACTGTAACCAATTAACATACTAGCAATTTATATATTGTTCTGTGGATAATACCTGACAGAATATTGCATATCATGGAACGCAGGTGATGTTGGAGCATGGTATGGAGTTAAAAGTCCTAGATATGAAGCTTTTCTGTACTTTGAACGAGATTATGAAAGATCTGGCTTATCCTTGGAGAGAAGATCAAGAAAGAAAGATACGATATCCGGCTTTGGAGGGAATAGGGGTGCGACACATATAAATCAAAAAAAGCCTTCAAAGCTTTCATTTTTTGTTTTTTTCCCTGTTTTTCTCTTGTTAGAGTATATTATATAGTTGTTATTATTTTTTCAGGGTTTACATGTAAGTATACAATATAGTTATTATTTATATATGGGGCGCGGCACATATATGTGTTTATTGAAAAATGAAATATTTTCTTTGTCAATTACTGTACATTCCCATGATTTTCAGGCAGATTTTCATGTACTATGAATCATGATGCAAAAATGGAAACCATACTATTTGGTTGATTGGTGTCCTTTTCAAATTAATTTCAAGGCTTAATTTCATTGACATGCCTTTAGGTTTGGCCAGATATTACCTTTAAAATAATTATTACTTAGTTCTTTTTTTTTATTCTTTTTTTTTTTTTTTCATGAAAAAAGACAACTTTATCTATAATTTTTTAATTTCATTTATTTTAGGATTAAGTGCAAAAAATCTCCCTAAACTATTATCCTTTTGCAAATAATTCCCCTAAACTAAAAACTGACCCATGAACTATTGATTTGTTGCAATTAGGAATAAATTCATCACAAAAGACTATTATTAAATTATTTTTATTATCTTTTCTTTTATGTAAATTTTAATTATACTATTTACCTTAATTTTATTCTTAGTATCAATTTATCATAAAAATGAAAAAAAAAAATAGATAAATAGATTTGTAACTACCATTTTCTAAATTGATTAACTTATTAATAAAACTTTATTATTTATAATAAAACGTATTATAACCAATTTAAACATTTTTATCGTAAAAAAATATTATTTTTTTCGTACAATATATTGATGAAAAATTAATAAAATACTTTTGAAAAAAATACTATCTTTTCATGTAATATATTCATTAAAAATTATAAAATTGATTAATTTTAAAAAACATTATACTAAAATTTTTATTTAAATAATTGATTAAAAAATTAAAGGTAAATTTATGCAAATTTAATAGAAAATATCTAATCAAATTAGTATGAATTTTTTCATAGTTTATTTAGATAAGAAAAATATATTAAATGTAATTCAATAAGAAGGGGCATTATGGTCATTTAATGAAATATAGTATAGTCCTTGGGATATGTTGCAACAAAATAGTTTAAGGGGTTTTATGCACAAAATATAGTTTAAGAGGGTTATTTACAAATTCAAACATAGTTTTGAGGTTTTTATTTGCACTTTACCTTTTATTCTAAAATATCAAGTTACTTAAATGACCATTATACCCCTCATCAATATTTTGGTTTGAAAGTTCGTTGTAACTTAGAGACAATATGTTGTATGAATGATTGTGGCAGTTTGACACTTTATTTATCTTAAAAAATTCAGGACCCAAAAAATAAAATTTTATGTATACATATATGCATATGCATTACACATATGCATATGAAACATATATATAGACTCCAAGTTGAAACTTGGAAGAAGTGTAAAAACGAAGCAGAGAAGATCGATCTGTTATACTTATCCCAAAGATGGATATGTTCATGAAAAAATTCTATTACACCTCCAATCACCACTGACAAAGCTCGTACCATCATCAATTAGTGTTGACGCCCATTTTGGGAAATCTTGTGTTGTTGACGTGACAGCTAATTTGGGTATAATGTGACAGTGGGTTGGACTAAAGGTGGATGATATTTCTACGTGGGTTAGAATTGGAATTGCATGCAAGGGTGGTATAAATAAAATTGTTTTCAATTAAGTGATGGGTAAGGATTGTTGTGTTAAGTATTTGTCTTTTAATTTGTTTCAATCAGATGCTGGTGGTTATCCATAGATTAGTTTAATTTAAATTTATAATTAGTTGGGTTATAGAGTTGTAATGTAAGTGAAACATTTATGTGTAGGAGTTGGTTTACATATTTTTCTATAAATAATTGTAGAGGCATGCTGAGAAAGAGGTCCAGCACCCTTATAATCTTTATATTATTGTTATTGCTTTCTCAAGCTCTTCCCCATAAAGCAACCTTGCTATTTCTGTCTCTCTCTGTCTCGTTCTATCATTCTTTCTCTCAATTTCTTTCTCTCTATCTCCTTCAATATCTATATTTTCTCCCCTTTCTATTATCTTAACTGTTACTATTTATTCACTTTACTAAACTCCTTTTAATTAAGACAATTTGAACTCATAAGAAGAGTATATTTGTTCTCTTTCTCTTCGCATCGCCTGAAAGTCAAAATTCTTAAAGAGAATATTGTTGACTAAACACACTTGAACCATATAATTGGTTCTGGCACGCCTGCAACGTACAAATTTAAAATTAGTTTTAGCCAGCCAATTTAGCGTCACCATTCTGGGCACACCCGATGGGACCCCACTAGGTGAGTGATTTATAGTAAAAATATGCAGTCGGCTTCTCAACTGACTTTCGAATATTCTGATCGGTCATATAAGCCAATGTATCAGTATTCTAATCATCCATATGGTTGGCCAGACATTTATCAGTAACCAGTTGTTGATTATCGGCAGACCCAAACAGTCGATTCTCGGCAGATGGACTATCAAAATTTTGCTCTTGCACCACAGTACCCTTCGGTACACAGGGGGAAGCCGATGGCCAATCAACTATATGGTTGGCCTTAAAGTTATCAGCAACCAACAACCGATTATCAACAAGTGGCAAACTAGTCACTAGTAGCCAATTATCGGCAGGTAGTAAATCAGCATGTCACCTTTTTCATCACAATCTTCGGCACTCAGCGGGCAGCCGATGGTCAATCAATCATATGGTTGGCCTGAAAGTCATCAGCGACTGACGAGGCCACTTGATATACGCCAAAATAATGTAGTGAATGTGCGGTTCAAGAAAAGCCTTTTAGGTCAAGTTTAAATTTATGAAACCACTACCACCACCACTACTAACGTAGTAAGAGTGAGTAGGGATCGTCCCAAGGGATTGGAGTCATACTAGCTTGTGGAATCACAATTAGGGTTAGTAAGTCGAGTGATCAAATAAATGGTTGGTTGGTTGATTAAACTAGAGAGAAAATTAAACTAAATAATTGAATACAATAAAGAGAAAGTAAGAGAGAGAGAGTTCTTGGGGTTTAGAGGTCACCACCAAACAATACTTTTTTACACCCTTAACAAGTGACTAATGAGGGAAATGTGTGTTGCAATATTGATGTGTGTGTGTGTTAGGTTGATTCAATTAGCAAGGGTGACCAATTAAACATACATTGTCTAATCAACATGTGAAAAACACAATATATCTAGCAATTAAGTATGTATTGTCTAAATAGTATGTGAAAAGCACAATATATCTAGCAAGTTATTAATCCTTTCATTAAGCTCACAAGCCAAATACACTACAAGGTTAGAGACATATGCTACTTGCATTCAAAAGTATGGAATATCAAACAACAAGCATGGATTGTCCTCCCATCTAACAACTATGCTACCACTACACTACAATTAAGCTAATGACATGAAATTAAACTAATTAAGTTAAGGGAGAGGCACAATCCATTAAGAAATGAGCATGAACCATCTAGAAAATTACAAGGGCATTCCTTTAAGCACAATGTTTTGACAATCTCTAGATCTATGGCATTAATACACATAGACATGCACCAATAACACAAGAAATAGAGACAAACACATGAACATCTATTTTAGCATACATAGACATATGGATAGAATGAAATGATCAATTGGAAGCATTAAACCACATAAATCATTGAATAAACAAGATTTATATATATAAAAGTGCCAAAATATGTATTACAACATTAATCCCTCAATAATACACAAAATCATGATGTAGAAACCATGCTTGGGGCTAACTCTAACCCCAAGAGGATGTCTAGCCACTCATGGTAGTGCTTCTCCAACCGTCAAGGGCTAACTCTATGGTAGAGATTTGCTCCTTGGTTGATGAAGAGTCTCCAATGGTGTCTCTAGCCTCCTCCTCCTCTAAGCTTGCTCTCCAAGAGTTTTTAAAAGGTATGAGATGATATGATATGATGTAAAAAGTAATTCTTATCCTTATATAGGTAGGTCAAATGATACACAAAATGAGTTGGGGTCGTGCACAAAATATTCCCCAATGATTGGATAAAGGACAACTTTTTGTGAGCTGGAAATTTAACTTTTTCGTAATACCCCTAATTTAAAAGGACAATCCTGGAATTTTAATTTAATTATTTACGTGAATTTTTCTTAATTTAATTGCTTTATTTGGCTTGGTTGTTTTGTTTTGTTTTGTTTTTTTTTTTTTTTATTTGCATTATTTGTGGATTTTTATTTACATGGTGTATTTAATTAATTGCTTTTGTTTTTATGGTATTTAATTTATTATTTAAATTTTGTTTTATTCTAAATGGACCAAATTAATTACGTGAGTTGGTTTACATTAGGGTTTAGTTTTAATTAATCGTGACTGGGAATGGAGCCGACTTAGAATATATTTGGTGTTGGACTTAGAGTTGGTGTCATATTAGAATTAGGTTGTGGGATAAAGCCTATAAATACATATTATACGTTGGTTTAGGGTTACAAATAAAACTCTTTTCATCCTATTCCCTTATATCGTGAAACAGATAGAGATTACAGGGAGTTACAGAGAGAGCTAAAGAGAGGAAGGCTAGGGTTTTGGTCTTGAGTTAAGACTGAATCAAGGAGGGGAGTTTGGTGGATGATACTGGACTGAACTAGGAGCAGTAGAGGTCATTTAACACAACCGACGTTGCCGGAGTTGATAGAGACAACAGTTAGAGATTTTAAATCAAAGTCTCAAAGGCAAGTCTATATTCTTCTCTTTCCCTTTAATTTGTGTTCTGTGCATGCCTAGTTAGACTCCAGGGATTAATTAAAGGCTAAAAACAGATTAAACAAATATGATATCAAATCTTATATACATGTATGAATTATATTAATCTCGTTTAAATAAGTGATTTGCATAAACCTTGATGGTTTTCTGTTATTTATTCTTCTCGGTGGTTGCGTTTAAGCTTTGATTAAAATTGAGGTCATAACTATGTATTGATGATTTGTAATGAATCTGGGTCTAAGATTGAACCCTGAATCAAGTTTTAAAAATAGTATTCAACTTCACTGAATAATTCTATTTTGAATCGCTTAAGTTTTTAACTGAGATTCTGTAGTCGTTGCTTCAAAAGGTTGTGTTCAATACATGTTATGGTTGGATG